ATATCAGTAATATGTAATTGTCATAACAAATTTAACTTTAGTATTATGTACGCACTCATTGTGCAAATGTAAAATCTTTGTGAGAAATGTTCATTCTAATCCGTAGCCTACAATCCATTTTTAAATAACAAGTCTATGAGATGCTGTAACTTTGATATTTTTATCTTATTAATTTAATAGAATTTAATTTTTTTTTTCACAGATCCGTTACTGAAACACAAAGTAATTAAAAACTCACCGGTACGACACGCGGCAGCGTATTTGATATATTGAATCGTAAGCACATAAATGTAGAATTCGGATTATAGCAGTGACCCAAAAATAAAAATAAAAAAAACGCGTCGACGAACTATACTTAATGATTGCTCCGCCGTTGCCCGGTGCCTCCTCCCGGGCCTCCCCCTCTCAGGTTCATTGCACTCGCACACAGGACTTGTGAAAACACGGTTAATTGCAATCGCCACTTATTGAATCTGATCAAGAGTATCGCGCAGCATGTACGATGTTAATTACATCGCAACGCGCACTTTATTACGTAACGAAAGAAAATTAATGTGAGAAAGGTACGATCGCTTAAAAAAAATTGCAACCTGTACCAAATTCGCGACGTCCCGCACATTCGCGTATTAAACAAATCTTAATCGGCGGAGTGTTTTAACAAATAAGCGATATACGTATACGAAAGTGGCACTGACAACTATACAATCTGATATACCGAGCGATAAATAAAGTCGCGTCGATGGCCAATTAAGCGATGTCCGAAAATGTGTAATCGAAGTCCAATAGTGCACGCGCAATATATTTTACACGCGTAAATCCCACGAAACATACGGGTCATTATTATTAACGAACGGCCGATGCGTCACGGCTTTCCCTTATTTCAATCGGTCGATTCGGCTACGCCCGTATCACTCCGCGCGCTTCCAATTTTCCAAAATAGTGGATGAATTACGAGCGGGCCGAATCGCTGAAAACAAAAATAGCGGAGTCGCGCGAGACGCGCGCGCGGAATTAAAGAGATAACTATCGTAAATGACGCAACGATAATTACTGTCCCTCCCTGCCGCTTATGTACTTCAAAGGGATAAATCGCGCGGAATACACATGCCTCGGTAACTAGCCGTTGCTTCGATTCGCGAATCGTAAGAGCTAGTCAGTCGCGTGGCTTGATAATTGATAATTGTTCATGGGAAATGATCGCGTTCTCTCATATCTATCGGTGTGGCGCACTACCTGCCGGCTCGAGTCTGGCAGCGCGAATGATAACGCGGCTGCCCGGACGACCTCCTACGCGCTCGAGCTCGCGCCGAGTCACAACACAAAAGAGAACGTATACGCAATACGCTTGCAACACGCAGCATTGGCCGCGCGTTTTAAAGCCAATTTATACAATCGCCGCCAAATATTCGGCGCGCTATGAAAATGTTTATTGAATATTCACTCCTTTATGTTGCACATTAATTTAGGTGAATGACATTGTGCATCATAGCGTGTTTCACGCGTCGTTTTGCGGACTCGGTTTCGCCCGGTATAATTCGAACGTTTCGCAAACTTAGAGAGATTATTGTACATTGAATTCTAGTTCGACAAACGCGCTGCGAATTTCAATGCACGCAACGACGCTCACGCATTATTAAATATGCATTTTGGACGACTTACAATTCGCGCCGAAATTCAGGATTCTATTTACCGTTTTGTAGGTGTTCGCGTGTTACGAGAAAATATTGCGAAATCAAAATTGACGTAAAAGTGTATATAAAATTTATATTATATACAGCACATAAAAATGTGTATATAATTTTATCCCTAAAATCTGCGGCAAATTACAGATTATCAAAGGTGAGCTTTGCACACCAAGTTATTTTATTCTTCTTTTTTTTAAATAAAAATATAAATCGTTACTCCGTTTAACAAGAATTAATTAATACCGTATTTAAAGAAAAAGATTAAATACAAATATGTAATCATCAAACTTTGCTATTAGTCAACTTCGTATCAGCTTTTTGCGGTAGTATGTAATACTTGTGCGGAAAAAAAGTAAAAGACGAAATCAGCTGAGTAGTGAGTACAGTACCGGCCAAAATTATATCACCTTTGTGCGAGGGGGAAACCGCTGACGAAACTCTTGTACACCAATGCCCATTAATGCCCAGTGGGCATTACTTCATCTCATTATCCTACTTTATCTTATTCCATCTTTATATGTAATGCCCCAGCAAGGCCTAATACCCAAACTAATGCCCAGTAATGCCCAGTAATACCGCAAATCTGTACACCACAATGCCCTCAGCGGTTTTCCCCACTCGCCTCTGCGTTTTCTGAGCATATCTTCCGTCAAAGTGCACTCGAATGTGCTTAAAATTCTACAGTAGACACCTGATAACAGCTGTCTTGCGCATGGACGGTAGTGAAATTTGACAAAACACGCCACGATTTTCCAACGTTCCATTCGTGCTGCTCAAAAAATCGAAGGGTGATATAATTTTGGCCGGTACTGTATAACTGTGTTGCATAAATTAATAAGCAGCGACAAATCGTCGCACAGATATGCGCGGATTATAGGTTCGTGCTATACTGATTGTGAGATGACCGGCGTCGATCAGTTTGCGCAAAAACTATCGCGATCTCGACGTATTCGTATCGGTTAACTTTCGACTTTAATTAATCTCCACAATATGCAATTAGGGTATCGTGTGACGGTTGCGGGACACCCTGTGTACGCACATATAAGACGAGAATCGAATTGGCGTGATCCTTGGAATCTGTAACACGTGAGCGCACTAATAATAGATTCCTATTCACGTACGCCGCAGGATAATTCACATCGCGTGGAGGCGTGCGCTTGTGAGAGCAGGAAAAGCATTTTATTCAGATAAGTATACGCTGAGTGGTGACCGTAAGAAAATCACTTATGCGACATGCGGCTGATTTCACCGACGTTGGTCAACTTTAGTCTCGGTTCAACTGATCTACCATCTCTTTTTTACTCTATCTCTCAGCGAAACCGGTCATCAATTTTGTAATAATACAAGGCTGAAAGTTGCGTCATTCGGTCAAGTTTCTTCTTGTGTTCCAGCTAATTGATAAAGCCAGATTGAATCATGAAGGAATCACGTGGCTCTCCGTAGATATTTAAAACTATCGACGTCTGTCCGTCTTTGTTAAAGACATCGCGTGTACGTTGCTTGTCCGGCAGATAAAAACTTTTTAAACGACCGCAAAGGATTTGAGCGCGTGCGAATATTCTATACTTTACAACAAATATCACGTTCGTTTGTAAATAAGGTGCGCAGTTCAAAGAATTCCGCTGGCATTCGCGTGAAACTCGAAAAATTCTGAAGGCTACCGCGATTGTACAATAGCAGTCCTGCTCGGAGCGATCGTCCGGAGTTCATTTCGGCGCGTGACGCCGCACCGAGCGTGTAAACCGCGATGCGGACGGCGCGGGCTCGCCCGCGATGCGTGCACGGGCGCTCACTTTCGCTGGGCACGCTCGCACTTCTACACACAAGCACGTGGCACGCGTGTACAAGCAGGAGCGGCGGTGAGACCCGTGCAGTAGCAAACCGCTACCGGCGCAACGACGGTTTTTCATCTTGTCAGTCAGCCTTCCTGCTCCCACGAGAGCGGGTCGATCGGCCTCTTTTTCCGCGTTTTCCGCGGCGATCTTATCTACGAAAGCTGTCACACGCGAGCGATGAGGTGCCGCGTAACGAGCCAAGTACCGACGATGATGCGCATCGCCCTCGTCGTCGGGGTGGCGATGGTGCACGCGTCGCCGGTCGAGCCCTTGCCCTCCATCCTGCTCGATGGAATCGGCACCGTCGCGAATACCGCAACCAATTTCCGTAAGTCGATCTCGCGATGTCAGTCTCTCGATATCGCCAAGTTTCATTTACTTTTAGAGCGTTTCATGCGTCCACACAAGTATTAGCAGACGTTCAGAAAATATTGAAATTAACAGTTTTTTTAAGGATCGGCTATCAGTTTTTATCTCTGTACCAACTAAATTTGTTAAGTGATGATAATAACTGAGGTAGAAGCAACGTAAAAAGTGGATTATGGTCTCGTAGCTCCGATAATGAAAATTTGTATTTAAACTTAATTTGTTCGAAACTGCCTGCTTTTAATAGATTAACTCGTTCTTTCACGACACACAGTCGTGCGATAAAAATCTAGATATATTTAAATAAAACATACATTGGTCAATCCTAATGAATGTAATTCGTATCAGGAATTAACGTTGGTGTGATAAATATTACGGGCATTAATAATTAATTTACGCGATTACACACTATGCGTGTTTATACAATTATAGAAATTATGTGTACGATTTGATGCAACAACTACAAAATATTATAACTTTGCAAAATTTAATTTGGAATTTGTCAAGCAGCTTGATATCTTGGTAATTTTATGTCGTGCGTAACTTAAATTGATGATCCGACGCAAGATGTAATAAGGATTACCTATTTACTTTGATGATGAGAGAAGTTTGCTTCGATGGTTTCGTAATTGTCGTCGAAGCGACGTCGACTTGGTTCATTTAATCGTGCCAATCGACAAGCGATTAATTCGAAATTGCATCTCGTTCGGATACAAAATTTAAACATCCTGCAATCCAGCGGTTTAAATTGTCAACATTAGACAATTGGGTTAGAACGGCATTGGAATTTAGATTTCGATATCGTAATAAACGCGATGATCTACTGAAACATATTAACGATACTTGTATCGCCGGAGCGTCCAATGAAAGTGAAAACGTAAATACAGCGATACAACGGTATCAATTAAGGATGAGGCGATGGATGGAAAGTTTAAGTAGGCAGATGTTAGATAACGATATTAGAGAGCTCTGGAAAGGCCTTTCCTCGCCGTGCGGCGGCATGAAAGTGTTTGATTGATGGAAGTACGACATAAAGGTAATCTCTGAATCGTCATACCATTTAAATAACTTCTGAATCGGAATCGCGTAAGCCGCACGAGTTTCGTAAATGTCGCAGCTAACACGCCGGCCAATTTGCATAAATAGTTTGCATAAATTAATGCGAAATTTATTGTGGCGCGCGATGACCCAAATTTTTAATCGGATGCAAAATAGATTATAGTTATACATTATTCCAATTCGATTGACCTCTTAGATAATAATTCATGCATACGTCTCGTGCGAAATGATAAATGCTTCGTACTAACGTGTCTTTGTAAAAATGCAAATTGCGTTAACAAACGCATCCAGGCCAGAACGATAGGATAAAGGTATTCGCGATAGCTGTACGTTGTTTCCGTAAACGTTCGAGATGACACTACGATATTATGTAATTAGTTCAAACGTAGATAAACTCCCTCTATTCGGACTGTCGTGTCGAATTCGTGTCGGTGGTGATAAATTACGGTCGTTATTGATGCAAAATTATTCGCAGGTACAAAATAAAATCATTATTTCACGCGACAAATTTATTACCCCTAACAACGAATCTTGCAATCTCAAGCGGGTGAAATTAAGTTCGATTAATTGAAAATACAGAAGAAATACACCGAGGAATTATTTCAATGTAGATAAATCATATTCGCGGATTAATCCATATTTGAAATCGACAGGGCTATCGGAAAAACTCAAAGAATATCATTGTTTCGTTACGAACTGCTGATATTGAAAAGTAAACGTGTTAGCATGTTTATTCACTCAAGCAGCAACGATGATTCAGATTCGTTGTATAGCGTGGAATATTTTGCATGCTGTATAATGCATACGGAATAAGAATCTCTGCTAATAGCGTGGGACTTCTGCAACGTATAAGGTTGACGAAAGGCACTCTTTATTCGTTAACGTCGACGTTAGTCACATCGCAGATGCGGCTGTTTTGCACATCGCCGCGCAGAATTCGTAATTACAGAGATTACACGAGCATGTTGCGTAGTTAATCTGCGTTAGCTTCTATTCGCGGGAATACGAGAAGAAGCTGTGATCGCATAATAATTCCGTTATCTTTTTGTGACACCTCACTCGAGAGAACTTTTACCCATAGCAATCTATCCGTAGTTATCTTTAAAATGAGTAACGTACTCTTCAATATCCGTTGCGGATTTATATACATACGTGAAACATAATCTGCACGTTTTCTTCCAATTTGTTCTTGAACCACGTTACAAACTTGATATTATTAAGCACTTGATGCCGAATTAAAATATTTTATTGATCGTCAACAGCACGTGTCACTTACATAACGAAGCTGGGCAATAATAGAACGATAACTAAAATCATCGCTACCGTCTGGTGCATTGTCGCGTAAGCGCGTTAAAAACGAAACTAAAAAATGAAACGCGCCATTTTTACACGGAACGCTAATACATCGATCAAAGCGCGTCTGAGCGTAGCAAATCAAACGTAACGGATTGTAACTGTTAAACCGCAAAAAACCGTTGAAACTTTTCACGTTCCATTAGATCCGGACGAATCCGGCGAGAGCGCAATCACTTTATTCGAGAACTACTTTTTATCAATACTTCACGTAATGCGCTATTGTTAGCTGCCGGTAAATGGCGTGTTAGAGCCTCCTTTGTTGTTACGATAGAACGAAATCCCTGCTTGAAATTCGATTAATCATTTAATTATCATACCGCGGGATACGTGCGTTTAACATGGAGTTCTCGAATCGGGAAGCCGAGCCCCGTGCTAAAATTCCTTTGTTACGGCAAAACAAAACCCTCGCTTGAAATTCCATTAATCATTTAATTACCATATCAGAACTGCCGGGTACATTTAGCGGGTCTCGACCAGAAGGCCGATTCTCGGATTCGCGATGGTCGATCTTCGCATCCGCAATCAGCGCTCCGCCGACAAACGGTTTAATTAACGCGTGCGAATAAAGGCGCCTTGAGGGTTGATTGCCAAATGCAACGTGCACGGAGCTGGCGAACATCCTCTATGTTGCGTGATAGGCATTAATATCAAAGTAAGAGCATTCGCGTCATCTACAATGCAATCTATCCCTGGATGTGGGAAAAGAATCGAGAAAAGCGCGATCGTGAGAAGCGCAAGGTGTATAAGACACATTTTAAATATCATTCGTATACGACACCGGATGACGTAACTTATAGTTGCGTTAATGATGCATCGGGGATTTGAAAGGAAATTATGGACCGCGCGTCTCACTTTCCGAGAGATTCTGCTCTTATTAAAAGATCTAATTATAACAAAATCTTTTGCAACATCCTTAACACAAACATGCGTACATTATTTGTTGTGGATTAACTTTACCTCAAAAATTTAATAATTTATACACTGCGTTGCGCGAAGTTACTAATTATTGCATCATATGATAATTATTAATCTCTTAGTAATAATTACTGCATAAAGCGTTTAATTATGGTTTTAATCACTGATTAATCGGTTCTGTCTTGGTAGAATGCCTCGTTGACTTGTAATCGTTTGTTACAGTAACAGGAATCGTGCACCGGCAAAAAGAACTATTGCATCGCGTTACGGACACTGCCGCGGACTACAGTATGTGTTCGCATAAATTGCAATGTTTATTCAAAGGCTTATGCATCCTCTTTACGCTTAGTATGGCTTCATCGCAGCTTTCAAACAGAAAAGCAAGAAAGGACAGCTTATCAAAATTTGCAAATGCTTATGCATACAGCTGTTTATAAGAGAAATAATTTTGATATCTATACGCTTTTGTTTGACAGCCTTAAAGGACTACGATACTTCAATAGTTCTTTGTCTCCTTAATATGTTACTACTGGCAATTATTAATTTATCACATTGTTACGTGAATTATACAACGGGCTTAACCAGGAAGAAATCCATTTTTTTTATATACTGCCAAATATATCTCTTAGATTTAATCCAGATTTTTCGAAAGAAAAATTAGACAAGTCTTGATTCCTACAGCGTTAATGAAAAAAAAATTATGTATAACATTTTGTGATATATTTTTGGAATATTTTTCTGCCAAAGCAATGGAGAATTAACTTGAATATTATTTATTATTTTGTAATATTCAATCTCGAGAGATTGCAACGTACACGAGACCATGCTGAAAGGTTAGCGGCTAATATTATTTCCGCAAAGCGTTGAAGAACGTAATTCGCGCTAGCGTAACTCTCGAGCGCGCATGGAGTCGACAAGCTCAGAGATGCAAATATGCAGACGTTTAGCAGAGAAATACAGTAACACAGTAATTCGATCTGTAATAACGCGACGCGACGCGGCGCTTTTGATTGAGAAGGGATTGCATTGCTCTTTATTAAGAAGCGATACGTTTGTAATTGCGTTACAGAAGCTCGTGACCCAGATCGCTTCTTAATTCCTTTTTGAGTAAACGATATCGAGTCGCTTCGTTTATAGCACTCCAAAATAATCACGGTCAAGTTGTGCATTACGCGCTTACTTATCAACCTTGACAGGATCGCTAACGAGAAAAGCTGAAAACTATCAACTCGCGGATCTAAATACCAGATAATTTACGATTATATAACTTGTATTTGTCTATTGAATTTGAAAAACTATGTGCGAAAATATATGTATATTGGCACTCGGGATAATTGACGGACGTTCTTTCCACGATGGAAAACAACCGCAATGTTATCTTAATCTGTGACGCACGAATCGCTAGTTACGAGATTAAAAAAAGTAGCAATGTAATTTGAATTAATGACATTGTAACTCGTGATACTTACTTTAAATCTTTTCGATAATATATCGCCAACGTGCAGAATGTTAAAGGCAAACAACAATATAATAAATGTTTCAATGAACTCGCGGAGGAAATTGAAAAGTCTCCTAACGTACCACGATATTCTATTTAAATGCAAATGTGTATATCAAAGACCGAGAAGATTACGCTCAGAAAATCATCGCAGTGCTGATTAATTAACGGTCTCATTATGTTGCGCTCGAGACTATTTCCGTGCTTCTATCTTCGATCTTTCAATGCTGAGAGACCTGTGTGCTTTGATTGAACATTTCTCGGCAATTCTATTCCTTTTCGTGACTGTAATGTATCACACAATCTAAAATACGAATTTCCATGGCTTTCAGAAGCATGCAAATAATTTTTATATTTCGACAATAAATATGTTTTCCACAAATACTCGTATGAAATATTTTTTTTGTTCTCACTATTCTCCCCCCTCCCCCCTCAAATTAATTTCTCTCGGAAGAAAGTAGTAACGTATTTTCCCACAAAATTAATAAAATTGTTTCAGTTTATGCGCTATGTGTTCTAAACGCGCATTAGCTGCATCGTTAAATTGAAGCCCCGCAGAATATGCATTAATATATTAATTTATTTTCTATTACTCGCTCAGCGTGAGATTAAATAAAGCTCGTCATTTCACGGAATACGTAATTTTGCGTGTAATTATGTGTAACAAAACGGAAATGATACAACATACAGGAAGCTCGGCCTTCGCGGCATTGAAAGAGTTAATACCTAAGCGGCGGCAATAACAAGCAGGCGCAATAAGATAAACAGGATTAACGGGAATACAAATAAACAGAGACACTTTCCGTCTTCTGATTGTAGTAACCAGCGCGGTGGAGACGCCGAGAAATTTATTGCTCAACGCTACCAGGGTGACGACCGGCTACAGTGAGTGTTACGTAAATTCAGTTTTATATATTTTTAGTCGTTGGTTTATGATAATGCGACCTGTTATTAGTTACTAATCGTCCAATTGTGCAGTTGATAATGCAGCCTCAAGGGGTCTCGAGTTCAAGCTGAAAAGATTCCTAGAGAAATTCCGCACTCGGATGCGCAATGGTATCCCGGAGCTGGGTATTCCTCCGCTCGAGCCTTTCACACTTGACGAGATCGACATCGACACGGATAATCCTGAACTCGGAAAGTGAGTCGATAGATAGATAATGTACACTAGGAATCACTGATGCCTTCCCACATGAATTTGTGCACGTATCGACACGTACATGGAAAATGCATACGTGTTCTACCTGTGCTTAAATTCATATGGAAAGGCATCAGCGATTCCCAGCGTATACTGACTGGATACCAAAGATTATGACAAGTTTGATATAACGAAAAAGCCTCGACATATAATGTTAGAGAGAGCGCGGTATACACAAAATAAACAAAATTTGTACTATTAATTAATCGCTAATATTATAAACGTCACTGAATCGAAATTTTATTAAGAGAGTTGGCACAAGGCTCCTTATTCACTCGTTAGTATCGTCGAGAATCAAACGCAAGTTTTGATAATTGATCTCTCTCGTTGTGCATTTTAATTTTAATTTTATCGCGCGTAAACAATATCTTCTAGGAAGTATCGTTTCAACATTTAAAACTTATTTGCACCTACGTGTAGCCGCGAACGACATCGATTGTCGGAATCGCAACGTGTTAAAACTTCCGCAAACAAGACGTGCGTAAAATGTCATTGTAAATCTGTTCCTCAGAATATTCTTAGTTATCGAGGACCTGGAAATGAGAAATCTATCGACTTTCTTAATCGATCGAGCCAAGTTATCGCTAATCGGCCCTACGATCACCATCAACATCTCCATTCCTGAGATTTACGCGTCGGGTCGTTACAACATTTCCGGGATACTAGGAGGTGCGTACAAGCTAAACGGTGCGGGTTCTTTCCAAACAACCGTACGCGACTTCCGCGTTTACGTGAACACCGTACTAGGCTACGCCAGAGGAATGTACTTGAAGAGATTCGACCTCGACTTCTCGTTGCGTGACATCAAGATGCGCCTGGAGAACTTTATGGGTGGCGAGGAGATCGGACAAATTATGAGCCAGGTAAAACTAATGGGCATATTTTGTTCTTTAAACGTGCCTTTGCGTATTTAAACAGACCGATTAAGAAATCTTTATTTAACTTGCGAATGAAAATAGTGTTTCGCATATTTAATATTTAAATATTGCGTAAAGTTTGATCGGGGTATCGCTGTCTTTATGACCAAAGTGTACTATTTATAATTTGTGATGAAAGTAGAATACCAAAAGATAACGAAAATTACTTGCCTCGATGTCTGATTTAAATTTTAACTAGCCAACAATCGCAGATCATTCTTATCATGTTATAATCTTGAAAAAATATACCAATTTATGTGGCCACAGTAAAATTTATGTAATCGGAGAAATAATTAAAAAAAAATAATGTCACAGTCATTTAGTAGTGAACGGTTATTCGCACTCTCAATATTTTTTTATCGAGAAAATCTTTTAAATATTCAAACAGAATTTCATACGCTTTGATAAAATCTACGTGAAACTGGATGCGAAAAATTGCCTTTCAACTAAAAGAAATAAAATTCATTTTTATCCTTCACAATGCCTGTCTGTCGTAAAGACGACTCCGCGACTTTACATGACAATCCGTAGGGACTCATTGTTAGTCATATTTTTACAAATCGCAGCCATTTCACAGAATAGTTCATTTTACGATCAGTTGCCCCTTGCCTCTTGCGCTCTCACGGGGCGATATTTATCATAAGAAGCGTTTTACGACCGTTCCAATATCCGACTTTATTCGCGATACACGCAACATCAGTAGGGCGAGGTCGCGTTTATCCGGCCATTGAAACCGAAATTCCATGTCGCCTGCCGAATATTAATCGCTCGTTCGATTCGTTCGTGTTTCACCTCGGCAGCCACGCAGACTGCGCAATTGTCGATTTGAACACGTGTCGCCAATTGATTATAATAATTGCAATGATTGCACAGATTACCGATATGCATTGGAAATATGAAACAATTTATCCGACAGGTGAAAAATTACAACTATTTTATTTGTAACAAAACTGCCTTTAACGCTTAAATTCCCGTTTAAACAGCAATTAAAATCGATACTCTGATGTAAAGTTCTGGCAGAATTAAATCACTACACGGTGATTTTCGTACGGGTTAAATACAACGTGTATTTCGATCGTAAAATCGAGCTATCTGTTTGCAGGTCTTTGAAGATTTAACACCAGAAGCAATGGACATCATTAAACCGGACATATTGCCCCCAATTCAGGATTATGTATCAAGCCACGTGAACGAGACAATTCATCATTTGACTATGAGGGACCTGTTTCACGTTCTCCTGGGAGAGTACGAGTTCGGAGATATCACGCACTTACTGTTACCCTGAGGAGACGCTCATGAAAATGTAACCGAAGTGCACCGCCCAATTATCGGGTCGCGCAATTACGAGCGCAACGATACGAGCTTAATGTGCATGACAATGCCCGAGTGTTCCCTTCATTCAGGGTGCAAGGAATCGATTGCAACCCAAGTACAATGCACTACGTCGCAATGCAACGAACAATACTCGCGGCGATAATAAAATGCGACAAGTCAGGTTGACTTTAAAGCCAGTCTTGTATTACGTAATACGTATTGACCATTCAAAGGTCTTAGACTACCTTGCCTGATGCTCACTTTCTACCATTCATTGTCTTGCCGAGGAGAAATTGTTTTATACGCGACAATGCGAGTTATTAATTCTTTTTTTCCATTCCTTTCTCTCTTGAGCTACGTTAAATTAATTATTTCCGAAAATCCTTCCCCGGAGTAATTCAATCAATTCGCTCGAATATATTGAAAATTTTTATGTTGGATACGCGCTGCTCATTAAATAATGAAGAATTACGCGGTAATTCGTATGTAGGCGATTTATATGATTCAACTATACGGTAACCTATCTCGTTAGCATCCGCTTGGAAATTCCGTAACGTAATTCCGTACGGAGACATCGTAAGGTTTCTCATCATCCGTCGCGAGTGCATCGGTGAAATGTTTAATTCATCGAATCGCCCGATGAATCCCGGCGCATCTCTAATCCGCTGATAAAGGCGGGCGAAAGTATTACAGCCTTGAATGGCGATGGCGTCAAATCTTCAACATTGCGAAATCGACCTAGGTGTCGTTGATCAATGATGAACGAGGTGGGACCATGAGAGGTGGTTTCGGTGATGAGAAAACTATCAGCAAAATGGCTCGCTATTTTTTTTTTTTCGAAACTGTTATACAGGGTGAGGCACTAAAACCTATTAGCGTGTGCCATACATCGTGCATCAATTTTCATTAGTTGCCGTATGCTACTAAAGATTTTTTAACACTTCGAAAGCCGAACAAGCCAAAATTTAACCAAAAAAAAAACACTACTGGCTTCGTGCGCTTGTCGCGTTATTTCTTTTCGTACAGATAAATATAGTAATAATTTAATTTAAAAAAATAATTTATAACATAATAATTAATTGTTGACGCTAGATATCCATAACTATGTATAATAATTTATAGAATTTTCTTAGCGATTACAACTGCGAATACTTCCGTAAGAATTCCAAACACAGAACATATATAATTTGTCTAGAATTAATGTGTGTGAAGGCGGTTAATTGCACAAAATTTTATAGATTTGAAAGCACTATGTATGACAGTTTCTACTTAAATATTACGCTCTGTTTGCAATTTATAATGACCAAAGAGAAAATATATCGTAACGTAAAATGATTAGTTATATTGCATAAAAAAACTAATTTATAAATTTACACGTTGCTTGCATAAAGCGATTGAAACGAACCAATCTGAAGTAATGTCAAACATATCCGAAAAGTCTTCAGAATAAATTAATTCTTTCATTCTTAATTAAAAAAAAAAGTTAGTATACAATGAGTAGCACGTGATAGCTAATTTTTACTTTAGCTTTCCGTTTGTAATTCCACTTAACATTTCTGTGTACAAAGTACAAAGTATAACACGTACTGACACGTATATAATTTGCCGGAACATCGTATACTATTAAGTTAATTATTATACCATACACAATTATGCTAAACGCAGTATGCGCCATAAATGTCGGTCAGGATTATAATGAGAGAGCATTCTGTATGATAGTAGAATTAATGTTGAAGTTTTGTTAACTGTTATAAGATAATTTAGTGATAATGTGTGCATCGTGTAAATGCAACCACATCATTTACCGATTAAGATTATTAAGATTATTAGAAAATTTCTTAAATATTTATGGTGTTACGATTTTGTGTGCGTATCACACTCGTGAAACTTTGACGCAGCAACAATTTTACAATTAATCGTTTCTACGTGCAACGAATTAATTAAAGAAATAATTGATTTTCCCGGTGTGCGCTTTTTTATCCAGCAAAAGTGCAAAATAATTTATATTAGACTGTCAAACGGAAATCCAAAGTGGTCGTTTAAGATAATTTAAAGCCCAATTTTCAATGACAAGATATAACCGATGATATCTCGTCTATTATTGATGTTAAAAATTTTATGATAAATCAGAATCGCGCGCGCGCAAATCTGCGCGTCAAGTTTTCATTTGATAAATTTTTTTGCAATCTTTAGATAATATCTTTCGTATATTTTTAAGAGCAATCTGGTAGTATTCATTATTACGGCACGGTCGTTTATAATCAATCATCCTCCATCACTTGCGGCTATCAGATGCTTTTAAATAGATTACAAAAAAGATTCTCAATTTTGAGAGTCACCAATTTTATTATTTGCATACTATTTTACGATGTTAACTGCACGTCCAATGTTTTTCAATAAGTTCATCAACGATAAATGAAAAATTAAAGCTGCCATATGGTTTTATCAATATTGTGGTTGCAGGGTAATCATTTTTTTACGCGAAATGTTTAATTAAACAAGATTCATCCCGGATTGAAGACAATCACGTCATTATTTGCGTCAGCTTCATAACAGACTGACAAATGAAATAAATAAACAAATATACGGTCGAAATTGAGGAATAAAAAATAATTACAAATTTAATTAAAACGATATTTACAGATAATCTTTTATCTCTCTTTCTCTAATAAGAAATTTATTATTTAATTAAAATTCGTATGGCTCAAATGTGATAAACACAAATTTAAGGGAATAAAGGACTAAGAGCCGTGACAGGGTATTAGTGTCTAAATATTGTTATTTAATTTATTTGCTTCTGTATTAAACGTGAAATAGAAAGAAATTCGTTTCAATGTTTTCCATATTCTAATTATCGTTTCGGTACGATTCCTATATTACTGTGATAAATTACTCGAATCCCATAGGTTTAGAATTATTGAGTCGAAATTACACATTTAACTCCTCTAAATATTCCAACATATACGTGTACATATATATTTGCCACTAATTTATATGGAGTTGTATATATTTTACGCAGTACGGAGTAACATCCATTAAGCTGCAAAATCAATTAATTTCTGTGTTGACTATCAATGAAGAAATTTTATACCAACGCGGTTCAAAGGGCGATCTAGCCTGCGATCGGTATCGATGAAAATTTCAATCCCCTGCCGGAGGGCTAATAACTCGTGCCACAAATACGTGATCGTCAGGAAGTATACAGACTTCATCCCTACGTTACACCCATCGAGATGCTCATCGATTATCGATAACAGCTTATCTCGGGCTACCGACTATCGTTTGTTTAACCGAGGCGCGAAGACAAACAATTATCTTTAAGCATCCGTGAATCAGCGGATTTGCAGTGCATCGCATTTAAAATCTTTCTAAATTCCACGGAAATACAAATATACGAGGCTCTTGAGGTTTTCGATATCGGAAAGTGAGATCACGCCGGATTAAAAATAAAACTGATGAGATCTTTCAACTCGTCAATTACTTAATGTACAAATAAAGATTCATGTTTTTCAAATATCACATCTATTGGATATAATATTTCAAAAGTTTCAAATTAAAAAATGTAGAATTTAAATCCCGGTACTTCGGTGTCGGAATATTACTCCAATTTCAACAATTACGTAAACGCAACGTTTTGCGTTTTTAGGCACAAAAATATACCATTGTATCCCAATCATTTGATGCATTCACATTAATTAATTCGGTGCTTTCTTTAATATGATAATCGATAAGAGATTGTATATCATGAGATGCTCCGATCTATATTTGTCGAATACTAAAAGTAACAGCCATTGATAAATTAGTATGTTTCTACGGGATTAATCAGAGTGTGTTATCGTCCCCGCTGAATCTCTATTCGCATGATACTATCGTCAGTCTGTGATCACGCACGTGCGTGAGCTCTGCCATTCAATTTTGCAAAGTGCCTATCCTGGCAGAGAAATACTATTTCGCATCAATTTCTTTCCATTTCACGCTAAAGAACAAATCACAACACTCGTGATCATTTTTTCTACACCGAGAAAAAAGTCTTTGCAAAATTTATTTGCGGCATATAATGTTCGTTTCAGTGAAATAATTCGCGTGAAAAATTTCGGTGAAACTTTCAAAGACTTTTTCCTCAGGGTAGAGAAAAGATCACGAGTGTGTGATTTGCTCTTGTCAGATTGATTCGGTTATAAATTTAATTAATTTTTGTATGTCAGATTGATTCGATTATAAATTTAATTAATTTTCAAATTATAGACAGCAAAAAAATTACATAGCTTGTTGTAACATGTACGAGATGGAAAATTTTAATTGCCCTAAGTCTTTAACAAAAACAAAATTTCTGAGAGTAAGCAAGGAAAACTACCATATTCGTTTTGTTCCAGTTTAATATGTAGAGGTTCGTGCACTGCCACTTGAGCACATTTATATTAATATAAATATTCGTGCTCCTCCAGAAGTTGAGGGTCCGTACACGCGCGAGCTTTTACAGTCTAAAATTCTTCGCGTTACTGACATACGACGGGAAGACGTTATTGCGTACCAGTTGGAGAATATGGGACTTTTTCGCGTGACCTATTGAGAAGTTTTCATTCCACAGGATCCTATTGGTTGTGATGAAATTCAATAATCTCAGAAGATCGCGCAATTACAATTCGATTCGGCGATAATACGTGAGAAGTCGCGAGAAGGCGTAGGAAGCTACCGGATATTCGCGAGCACCGTAATCAATCGTATTGGACCGAATAACGCGTAGGTAGGCAAAACCGATTACTTAAACCGTGGAAAATGTAGGTGCAAGTAAATTTTCGATAACAATGCACAAGTTCTCATCCAGGCAACGCTTCACAGCCAAATGTTTCAACAATAGATCGCGCGCATTCGCGAGGACCGGACCGCAAACTCGGAATATTAAACGATATTTGTCGCTAGTCTCCCATGCACGCTAAGCTTGTTAATTATTCCCGTTTAAGATACCGGCCGTTTAATGAAAAAGCAAAGCCGCTGTTGGCCCGGCATTGTTTCTTTTGCGTTCGTTCTCATCTCGCCGTAGGGTATATATTGCGACGTATAAAGTAAACGTTTTCCATTATATGAGCTTTGTATACGAGGCGTAATATTTACTAAGACGTGGAATCGCTATTTCGTCAGTAATTGATTTTTACGACGCGGTAGTCGTTCAGACAAAAAGTGTTTGTCATCCCATCTGCTTTCTATAGCGGAGTACAAACTCGTGATAAAGCGTGTCGGAAATTATGTCCGTTGTTTAACAGACCGTGTGAAATAAAATTCACGGGGCACATTCATTCGGAGTTGAAATATAAAAGTACGCCCGATGCTTCGTATCGACCGAAGTCTATCAATTGAGATTACAAAGTTGCACGAATTTCTTTGCTCTATTAAATTTTTAACTTGACAAGCCCCAGCAAGGAAACTTGAGATTTTATTATGCAAACATATCTTAGAATTCAGCAACTTCTAAATAAGTTTACCGAGTGCATCACAATTATTCATCACGAATTGAAAAAAAAAACAACATCGCTTACAAGAGAAAAGGCAATGAGGAAAAAAGACGTACACAGAAAATTCTTTTAAAAAGATAGCAACTGTAGTCATTATACGTTATAGCTTTTCAATCATTAAAGTAAAAAAAAATTGAAATTGAAATCCCGTTGAAAAGGAAGTTTGAAATGAGAAAAAGATCAAAGTGAAATTTAAATCCAAATCTTTAAATACTTCATTTGCTAAAAGCTCCTCATTTTAAACGGTTTATAATACTATTGAGTCTGTGTACCTTCACAAGAGTCGCCAATTTAGATTTAAACAAAGCATTCGTAACATCTCGTGCATCAATTTGACCGGAGCAAACCAAGTTGTTCCTACTTGGTGTATTTTAAGGAATAAAAGAGATGCACGCGGGGTATTTTGAAAAGAAAATGTAAATTTAGCTCTCCCCTTTTATTTTACGGCTTAAGAGAGTTAGGGTGAAATACAGTTTGCGGCTGGCTTCTAGCCACTTTATATACCCTCGAAAGCAACAGTTGGTGGGGAGTCACGCGAGCCGACAGGCGCACAAAACGCGTATGCAGGTGCAACGAGGAAAGCTCGGGACGAGCGCCGATGACGGGGGTGCGCGCGTGCGGGAAAGAGAAAGAAAGAGAGAGAGAGCGAGCGAGCGCGCGCGAAAGAGGGGGTGGAGGGAATCGGAAATCGGACGGACATGCGTAAGATCCGACAATATAGAGACGTATATCTCAGGAAGGCAGTCGCGTTGAAACGGCGCTCGATGTCGGACGCGCGGATATGCATGGACAGTTCCGGGCGGTCCGATCGCAAACGCACCGAGGTGTTACGCGTAACGAGACTTGAAAGAACCGGAGCGGGCGCGACGTAAATCCCAACGTGAGGAGCAATTTGAAAATTTTCGGCGCCTGAAATTCGTTCGTGTCAACGCCGAGGGTTATTTTGTGTCGGTCGTGCGGTACCGCGAGGCTCGATCGGGAAATGATAGACGATAAGGATTTGTATCGTACGCGATATCAGTTCCGAGGGCAGATATAAAAATATTGATATTTACGTGACGCAATGTGCAGCGACAAGTGCCCGGTTATATCACGCGATGTAAAGCTGCCGGGGGGATGTCCGGAATTTTTCATACGGGACACATAATCGCGTGCCTACTTGCAAGAATTACCAAGTCTCGTGACGTGGCCAATATATTTTTATCGCGCGAGACCTATCGTAGATAGTCAAAAGGTAACATTTAACATTTAACGCGATCCGTACTGACGGGATACAAAGAGCTCGTCGGGGAGTTTATATAACGGGAAAGATTTATTCCAAATCGTTGAAGAGACCGCACGCGAAAGAGCGCGCGAAATCTCGTAGACGGTTTACAGAAATACGGAAAATTTATTCATTGAAAAATGTATTATCTCACAGTTAATATTCCACACAATTATTTACCGAGAATGCATTTTTCTTAACAGTGTTTAGGACATTTTCTGCTTTTAAAATTAAGTAAAATTATGTATTCAGGCGAAAGAAAAAAAGATTACAGAGAAACGTAGAGTTTCCCCGGACGAGTTCCTTGGTATCTCGGGGTTAACGAAATGCCCCACGTATACGCGGCAAGCTTCAAGTTGATATCACATTCCATCTCAATTTAGAACAAAGGGTTAGTGCATAAATCCTCGAGAAACTAAGACGCCACGAGAGACAGATGACAGATAATTAAATTCCTATTATCCGCGGCGCGCTATGGAGAGATGGTCGCTTATCATCGTGATATAAACAGGTGTATCATCAGCGCGGCACATTGGGCGTCACGATGTTTTTCACGATAGATCACACGCGGCGAAGTGAGCTTCCGCGAGCCGGCCGCTGTTTTCGCCGCGAGTAAGAGACGTCGGCCGGACAGTTGGCAAGTCGTTGCGCAAATTAGCCGCGAGAATCTCGACGGATCCGTGCAAATTGGGCGAGTCAACGTGACGGCGTCAAGTGGACGGGACGAGCGGCAAAAGATTAATCGAATATAAGACGAGATACGCACGCGGCGGCGACTCTTCCGAGGATGCCTCGTCGCGCGGTGAGTACCTTTGCACTTAGCAGTTTCCCTCGCGAGTGTCTTCGCGTGGTAGATTAAGCGAGTTAGCGTATCTCGTGGTTAGCCTTGGGGAGCGCGCGCTCTCCGGAATGACGAAAAGTGTGCAGATCGGATTTTGCCGTCGCGAGATATAAAAATAAGACGATACGAGCCGACGATACCTAAAACGTACAAGCGTATCGCTCTCATCCCGCTTGTCCAAGTGGAGCGAGCGATATGTTTCTACATTATTGCGTGCGTGAGAGATAAACGCGGTTGTTAGAACGTCTGGTCTATATATGTGGAGCGACGTACGCAAAAGTTGTGCGGGACTCGATTCTGTTAATCGTTAATAATCATTTTTCATCGAAATCTCAATCGAAAATAACCATCACTTTCGTTTCTTTATACGGACTGATATCGGCGATATAGAAAAATTGCTACCCCTTTCGCGCTCGTTGCTATGGTTTTGTCACGTGCTAAGTTAAACACAGAGTGTTGCGCGAATTCGTTTCATGCAGGCGAACGTGCGTTACGTCCAAAGTTTTAACGAAATAAGTTCCATTTCTAATCGCATTCAAGTGGATTTTCACTACGTTCGACGTAGCACGGCAATTACGCGGCTAGGCTAATTACCGCGATGACATTCGATTATGTCACGGGAAGACACGTAACATTCTTTCGCGCGTCTACACGGAGACAATTTTTTCTTCAAATTCATCCTTTACGACACGGCATTTCGGAGAATTTTATAACTTTTTTTTAATTTTACCATACATTTTATTAGTAAAACGTGTACCAAGTATAATTACTAGTGAAATGTGTGGCCAAGTTTCAAAGAAACTCTCATAAAATCCTTCAAAATGCCGCGTCGTCCCACGATTACACGAGTTTCAGGGTAAATTTGAAGAAACAAATTTTGTAGCTTTCGTCCAATTCTAACTTTACGATCATTATTTAATTATTCCATTAAAAAAGTAATGGTACTTGCAAACAGACGAACCGCTGTTCTGATATGTGTAACAAAAAAACTAGCGCGATTTTCTGAAGCGCAAAAAAAATTGCTATAATTCTTGGACATGAGTAGTTTGGATTTGCGCGTTCCCTCCTCGTTTCCCGCAGTTCACCGGGAGAAGTTACGCGGTAATTAACATAAGCGCCTTATGAATAAACACGACGGTCAACTTTCATTTTATATCGGCGGCGATAATCCGAAAAGGAACATCTTGAACGGTGTTTATCTTCCAGCGCGCAATAAACTTACGTCTCGATCTTCGACGTGTAAATATACACGTGGCTCGATCGCTGAAATAACGTGGCTGCAGTTAAAAATACAAATTTCACCTGCATTTTCGTACCCTTTTCACGTTTCAACGGAGACGGTATATATTGCCGCGGAGAAAACGGTAAGGGAAACAAAGTGCGGGGAGAAGTAATGCAAAGAGAGTCGCGAAACAGCTTGCGCGGCTAAAGTGGAAGACTCGATGGCGCGGAATTGTTCTTCCCTGTGACAGCGTGATCGCGACGAATGCAAACGCGATAAACAATAGCCGGCGCTAAGGAGCTTACGAGAAACAGCTGAGATTTGGCGGAGCCGTTTGCTCATTTGACCCACTCTGCGCGGCTGTGTGTGTGCACGCGGGATATGTCGAACGATTATATCATCATTCAGGACACCGATAACGATACGGGCGAAAAACCGTGCGCGTAACACCCGGCTTATTCCGGTATTAATTCTTCCTAACTAACGTTAACTTCGATGTAACTGCCGATGCTGTTACTCGCATTCGCGTAAATGCGACGAGAAGCCTAGAGTGGAATTTAAATCGCCATAGGAATATTAATTACAGCGAGAGGAACAGAGCCTGCACACAAGCAATTTTTATCAGCTGTTATTTTTTTTAATTACTGCCTGTTTACTGAACTTATTAACCCAATTTCTCGTATCGCTGCATGTAATCTAAACGACTATACGTTTCGCTCTTTTCGTCTCTAACTTAATCAACAATCTGCAAATTTATGGGCGTATGCGCGTTTTCTTTCATTTTGATAGAAGCACGTTCAACGCGTTATACGCGCAATTTGGCTTTATCTTCGGTAAACTTTTGCCCCGCGGAGAACAATATTTCTATGACACTTACGCTTCGCTCAAGATATCAAAAATTGAGGAAGAAATCTGTCAAAACTTTCCGACGAGTAAAAACCTTGGTACAAATAATGGCTCGATGCAATCGATCGTGTTTTGTTTTGAAGATCGCGATATCTTATCGGAAATAAAAGCAATTTCATATATAGACAAAGGAGGTAAATACTTGGAATCAGTCGTACAATCGCACGCTCGTAAAGAACGGTTTATCTGAGAACGCAATTATCTGAAGCGGTAACTGTGATCTACGCTGCCACGTGTTATCTTAACTATTTCCGCAAGAAAAGATGAAAGGGAAGATACACGCGAACCCACGAAAATTGTACCGACGTTTCCATTTCTGAACGAGACGGTACGCGAGTGACGGCAATAGAAAGCAAATTAACGAATCAAAATAATCGAGCCTTGCCTTAAATTATAAGAGAAGCCTTGCAAATGAAGAGTCCGTGTTCGAGTCAACGACCGGCGTAATAAAACGATCGCGAGATGCTATAAAAAGCGTTTAAAAGATCGACCGCGGTAACCGGCACTGAATTAATCAGCGCTGAGAATTGAAAGTCTGCTATCAGTAAATTGCACGACGGATCACTCACGCCAATAAAAGCTGTTAATTTATAAACGATGTTCCGGCGCTCCTCGCGGGGTGACGGGCTAGTTCGATCAGATTTTGCTACCGGCCGTCGGAGCTTTCGGCTTTAAAAATTTGTGAAAGGCAGGCAGATCGAGCGGATATAAATAAATGGTATCTGATCATTTCGTAGTATCGTCGTTAATGATTTTCAGCGTTTTACACCGAGCGTGTGGTACGGCTTTATGTCAGTACACAACCGTATTATGTTATAGCGCGGCTGCAATTTTACTCATTCGCTCGTATTATACTAGAATAATGAAACAATTACCTTTAACATCCGGCCATCTTTCTTTCCCGTCGGCGATACAACGTTAGCATAATCGAGTTGACGACGATAAAATAAAAACAACGGCTGTACGATCATTCTTCGAACGTGCATAATTAATATTACATGAACGTTAATTAAAGTATGCAAGGAAGAATAAACCGTGAAAGGTCTTCTTTTAGATTGTTATAAGAGAACTAAAGTTCATAGTGTGCGGGGGAAAATATATACTTTCCTCTATTACTTCGCAACGTATGCAACAAATTTTCTATGTTTAATTATTACACAACAGTTTTTATTACCATCATTAATTTTTCCACGCATTTCTCCCGTTATCAAGAAAAGAAAAATTAGCAGAGACACCGAGCTTTCAAAGTTTTTTACCGCGGTAAAATTACGGCTTATTTACATCATGTAATGCGGATAATGAACGGGGAAATGTTCACAAGAGAAAGAGACGTTTGATTCGCACAAAGCTCGAAATCAAAAGGACTCGATCCGAAAGATTCAATTAATCGCCGGGAAAAAAAATCAATACGCCAATTAAGTGCCCCAGTAACACTTGGTTTGTTTATTCGCGCAATAGAAAGGCCAATTAAACAAACAAGCGGCAAGGAGAAGTTTGAGCAGGGGAGCCACTCGAGGCTGTGCCATTGATAAATTGCAGTTTGCAATAAACGCGCGAAAGCCGGCGTGCAAAGGAAAAAATGATTGTGCGGAAGATTACGCTCTGCTCCGCACATACTCCGGGGGAAATTTCCATTAATCGTCATTAATCGGCAAACGCGATATTTTCCACCGACGCCATTATGCGATCCCGCTACATTACTCGGGTGGCAAGGTCCTAACTCAATAAAGCGACACACACACACACACACACACCTCCCCGTCGCACACACGTATGTACGTCGCGTTCCGTCTGCCAGTCGCAAACGCGTGATTAAATTACGCGGGTACGCACGTTCGTGCGACGCTTTGAATTTTTTTCACGGCACCGCACGAATCGATCCGCGACACGAGTGCACGGAAAATATTGACGCACTTCCGCCCTGCGACAAGCCTTCAATCCCAGTGTCGATTTTAAGAGACGGGAGAGCCACCGATGGGACCGGGGAATTATGTGTACCCTCGGGTGCATTCTCGTACAAACGGAGCGCTCGAAATATTGACGAAACAAGACAAAAAGAGTGGCACTTTGCCCGTC